GTGTGTTCAGTGTGTGGTAGTGATGTTTTTAGGAACATACTATTAGGAACATACTAGTAGAAAACACAAATATATTAACTGCATCCACTTGCAAAAAAAGACTAAAAATAATGGAAGCTTTAATAATAAAAAAGAAAAAGCCAACCCTTAACAATATTAACTATGAACAAAGCCACAATGTGCTCACCGTATTCGGAAACTAAGAAAAATTAAATAAAAAGCTCAACCGTAGTACCTTGTCTGTCGTTTTAATGAAACTTGTATATATATATATATATATATATATATATATATATATATATATATATATATATATATATATTTGGCAGAACAGGGTCTGCGAGGAATAACAAAAAGACAAAACTTATTAAGAGCTACAAAGAACAGGAAGCGGTGGAGGGCGGTGATCGCCTACGCCCTGAAGTGACGCGGCACGTAAAGGAAGTGTGAAGATTTAAAAGAGAGGAAATTTGTTTTTTATAAGGTTAAGACATAAGAAATGAAACAGAAAACCGGCGAATAAGCTATGTGTTTAAGTGAATGGATAGCAGAAAGAGGGCAATAAAGTGGGAGAGGGTTAAAAAAAACCCAGGAAAGTGTGGAAAGCCATGATCGGTCACGTCCTGAAAGGACATGGCATATAAAAGAAGAAAAAGAGGAACGAGTTCGTTAGTTTCACAAATAAAAACCAAACTTGTCTATTCTTGAGGCTCAGGCTGCAGGGGTTGGCCGCGTGACAGGCGTTGAAGTGGGTGGGTACTGGGGGAGGTAGACAGCAGCGGCGGCGAACACATACAAGCTTTCTCTGAGAATGGTTCAAATCAAAAAGCAATATCTGAAGCAAAGTCACCCGGTGGCGGCAGGGTCCTTTTAGGCGGCAAAGAGTTGGAAGCGGTCGGGGAGGGAGATGCTTTTTATTATTTTTATTTTTTTGTGCATGTGTATACGTGTGTTGATGGTAAGTTTGAAATATAATAGGTTAGAGAGTGGGCCTTTGGGAGTGGTGGGTACGAGTGAGTAAGTATAATTCTCCTCATTCCCATGTCCACAAAAACCCAAAAAAAAAAGCACACACACACACATGAATAAAGAGAAAAATACAAGCAAAGACCAGATGAAAAGGAGATGAAAAAGAAAGATAAAAGCGTTTGGCAAAAAAAGTAAGCGGAAAGTTATTGAAATGTGGGAGAAATAAAAAAAAAAAAAAAAAAAAAAGCAAATTAAAGGAAAAAAAGTGTGAATAGAGAGAAGTAAAGAGAGTGGGTGAGTGAGAAAGATGGCGAATGAAAGTAGAAAAGATCGGAGAAATCAAAAGAGAAGAAAGAAAACAAATAATAATAAAAATTAAAAGAAACAAGAAGGTCGGAATGTAAAGAGAAAGATGAAAGAGTTGAGAGAAAAAGAGAGGAAAACGGGTGAAAAAAAAAGATAGAAAGGAATAAAAAGCAAGATTCAAAAAGGAAAAGAAAAGCAGTAAGCAAGAAAAAGAGAAGCAACTTAAAGTACTTTATTTTCCTCTTCTACTTTTTTTTTTTTTTTTACCTGGCTGTAAATTTTCCTACTCCCCCGTGCCTAAAAATTCGGGCGTTGGGCAAGGGTCTGATAATTCGAGGTGGTAGAAATTTCTTGCCAATTCTTAGTTTGGGAGGTGTCAAAATAAGTTGCTACAGCTAGCGTCTTTTGTTTCAACACATATTGAGGGGTCGGCAAGCAATACACAAACAAAATTATATATATATGTGTGTGTGTGTGTGTGTGTGTGTGTGTGTGTGTGTGTCTCTACGCGCGATCGCGCGTGGGTTGTAATAAGTGGATATAAATGGTGGAAAATAATATGAAAGTTGTTCCGGCCCCTACCAATTTATTAGGCACGAGATTGTATTGATGTTTCTTGCACAAAAGAACTATTGGCAAACACCAATAATTATAATTAATAATCGTCTCTTCCCCATGCAGCAATGATTAACAATGTCTCTTTCACAGGCTAATACGACTATAGAGATTTCGATCCTATTTGAGGGCTTTTCTAATTGATATTTACTGTGCTGAACTTGGCAAGTTTAACTTAAAGAATATTTAAATTTGTTCGCTCCCCATTGGATGAATTTCATTTTACAGCCTTATACTTGACTAAAGTAATTAGTAATTACTTCTGTAATTATTCGCATATAATGCGCATTTCCTCCCAATACCTTTTTAGATGAAAGTGTGTTAAAGGAAAACTAAATATGAAGTTTTTTCTTGTCTCTTGCGTCGCCATATTCGAGACGATAGGATGGAATGTAAAAAAGTATATATCTGGTCCAAATTAAGAGTTTAAATCACTAAGAAAGCAAATAATTTATTCGCATATAATACGCATTTACCGCCATTTTTTTTTTTTTAAAGTTGAATGTTAACGGTTCGTATTAAATAAAAACAAAATATTAAGTTTTTTTCTTGCTGCTTACGTCTCCGTAAGATCGAAAGTAACGTATTGTCCAAACTAACAAGTGTTTAAATCATTAAGCAACCAGAGAAAATTTGTTAAAAATATTCACATCGATATTGAACACATGTTTGTCTGTTTCATTGCTGTTTGCGTCAAAGACAAGTGTCATGACAGTTTTATGTAGTCAGCATGACGCACATACTCCACACTGACTACATAAAACTTTATCATTTTCAATGTCGTTTGTTGTCGTCCATACAATCATTTTGTGCTTCCTGTTTTACGCTACTACAGAGACTGACCACCGGAATGTTTGTTTATTTATTTGTTTAATCTCGTGTCAGCTTATTTTCACCGCAATCCTGTTGTATTCTTGTGTGGACATGTCCGTATATACAGTGTAACTTTGTGTTTCAAGACATAATCTAAACTAGGTATTCATCAATACGAACCAGATAAAAAGTTGAACAATCCTTAAATTTAACTGCTACAAATTCTGAAAAGTCAATGCTTATTAATATAAGAATAATTCAGTCAGTTATGTGCCATACGTGATACACGCTTAGGCGATCGTGTATCTTTCGATACATGACTGACGAGGCAGATTTTTTTTGCCATTTCTTTCTGCGGTAGACCACTTACCATCCAAGGCTATAGAACTCTATTTACGCATAACGGGGGAGAAGAGGACTCATACCTTTTCCAAGGGTATTAGCACGTAAGTGAAGGCAATGGATTCGACTGGAATTCGAGAACTCGGCTCTCCGATTCCTCAATCCTAGCCGCTATCCATTACTCTACTGTACGATACTTATAATAATTAATTATATTATGACTACTTCTACTACTACTACTACTACTACTAGTGTTGCTGCTGCTGCTGCTAATAATAATAATAATATAACAGACGACGCCATTAAAAAGTAGCTTTCAGTATATACTGGAAACAATGCAGATAGTGATACAAGAATTCACTTTCGTCTGTAGCTGAGAATGAGCAATTGGAGCTCATGTGGGATACAACCATCTTCACAGACAAGCGCTTGAAGAGAAATCGCCCTGACATCACATTTACTTGCGGTACCTTTCGATAAGAACATCAGGAAAGTGGAGCAGGCGAAAATAAGTGCCAAGACTCTTGCAGGGCAAATCGGAAAAAAATTTACCAAACAGCAGGTCAAGTTGTGGATGGTGCACTAGGGAATTATTTTCAGGAATCTTTCTGCCTCCCAAGAAGCCTTGGAAATACTTGACATCACTGGTTGTGCACAAGGTGGTAGCGCCGATTGGACCAGCTCATGTGCTGAGGTAAGTGTTCTCTCTGAGCTGCGGGTAGAAGCTGAGATATGACGGCCATTACCCATATCTCTGAGAATCGGAGAGAATATGAAATCAAATAATAATAAAAATTAGAATTTCTTCATTGTCTGAGAAGAATTATTCGTAACTTGGAAAAGTCGATAATTAAAATTAATCCACACAAAATGTCTAAAATATTTTAAATGCTGTTAACGATATAGACGATGACTATCTATACTGTTAAATCACTTGACGACGACATGTTAACAAATTTTTATACTATCGTTCACACAATACAAGCCTCAAGAGCCACTCAAGGTAGAGTTTTAATGAGTGAGGAATAATGAATGGATGAGATTAATAAGAAGAATTTAATATTATGAGGATATGGAGGCTAGATAAAAATTGATCCTACATTTGAAAAGCTTAATATTGTAGTGATCGAGGAAGCATTCTCTCGGGAGTTTGTTTCACTAAATACACAACAGTTTTTTGGGAAGAAACTGTCTTTCTCCTTATCAAATGGTATACGAAGGAAATCCGGTGAAAGTTATCGCCTCCTCTATCTTCCCTTTCTTTCTTTCTTTCTTCCTTTCTTTCTTTCTTTCTTTCTTTCTTATGTATCCTTTTTTCTAACTAAAACTAAACATCGTCTCTGATATATATATTTTTCTTCCGTCTTGCAATCAAAGAGGAATGGTCCATTTATCTGAGGTTAGGCAACGAAAGAACACATATAAAATAAACAATATGTGTCTAGTCCCCGGAGATTCTAACTTTGGGGCGGCATTATGTTAACTAAACTAAAGGGAATGATCGTGGATCGCCCTGACGCTATTTTACGACACTGACTGCAGGGGGCAATCTTTGTCTCGCTCTCCAAGTACGCGAATGAAAACCCCACATTAAAACAAATTTGTGTTGTATTAAATGCAAATAATCATCAGATGTTAGTTCCATATGCAGAATCGGAGAACTGGATTCAAATTCTGCTTAGAAATTTCTATCTGAATTTCTGGGATTTACATTAGGACTTGTTATTATTTCAACCGTTGTGCACTACAGCCATTATTTTTTACGTGTCTGTCGATTGAGAGAATTTCGCACTGATTGGTAGATATGGAATTAGGGCTTTATCACCGTAGATTATTAATAAATGGGTTTAGTTCGAAATTTTTCTGAAGATTACCCGGATCGGCAGAGACCTGAAGACGATGTGATAATCACAACAAAGATGAGAATATTAGTCCGAATATAAATAATATTATAGCTCTGTTCTTATCTATCTATCTATCTATCTATCTAAATTTATCTATCTATTATATCTCTGTCTGTTCTTATCTATCTATCTATCTATCTATCTATCTATCTATCTATCTATCTATCTATCTATCTATCTATCTATCTATCTATCTATCTATCTAAGTTCCTTGTGTGTATATGGTTATCCTTTTTCTTTCCTCTCGAAATAAATATCTGTAGAATAAAATCATTCTGATCAACAATAAACACGCGCGCGCACACACATACGCACGCGCGGTCATTGTTTATCTATCTATCTATCTATCTATCTATCTATCTATCTATCTCATTTTGTTCATATCTATCTATCTATCTATCTATCTATCTATCTATCTATCTATCTATCAAAGTTTGTTCCTGTGTCTGCTTGTCTGCTTACGGTTATCCGTTTTACTCTCGAAATAATTATCTGTAGAATAAAATCTTTTCTGATCGACAATACACACACGCACACACACAAGTATTGTTTATCAGAAAAGATTTTATTCTACAGATAATTATTTCGAGAGTAAAGAAAAAGGATAACAGTAAATAGACAAGCAGTCACGCACACACACACACACACACACACACTCACTCTCTCTCTCTCTCTCTCTCTCTTTCACCCCCACATACATACATATATATATGTGTGTCTACTGATATCTTTAGGGTTATGCTGTGTGTGTGTGTGATATACAAGTGAATTTACATTAATGTTAAGAGTTCTTCCGGTCGATTCTGTTCGTTGACGTCCTTATGAAAGAGAGCACGCATGCCACTGGACTTTTTATTTTAGCGAACAGGCAAGAATAAAGTGAAATAACATCAATGAATCAAGTATGTAAGTAGGTCTTCAAAGGGTGAATATGGAGTGGGTAAAATGTCTACGTGGCATTGAGAAACGAAGCGAAGAAAGGTCAGAGATGTATGGGGAAGGAGTTTTCTTTTTCAGCATTGACATCGGTGCTTTTCATCGTTATGTATTTGAAAGGTTGGTGACAGAAATAGAAAATCATGCATCTATAATTCCGCATCTTTAATTTAAGAAATTTCGGCCGATTTACTCTCCGGCCTCTCTGATGTTTTCTGAAATAAAATATTGGCAATATTTCATTTGTACTTCCCTGATCAGTTTAATCCTTTTCACGAAAAAAGGGTAAATCGTTATCTATCCTCTTTATTCTCATAATCCCAATTTCCTACCAGCTTCATTTATCTCACACACCTCATCTAGCATTATCATTTCGACTGTAATCCTCTATTTTGAGTGGCTTTCGTGTCTTGTATTGGGTGATATTCAGATTAGTAACATCGGCTTTGCTGTTTTGATAATTACGCTTCAGCAGATAGACGCTTCAGCCTTCGCCATTTGTACATGTTCTCACACATCTGTTGGTCTAAATATCAGTGAAAGGTTTGAAGATGCACACAAGGAAGGCCTGAAAGATAATCGACCGAAACTGAGTGATCGGAACATGTCTGAATAATTCAAAGAATGTGTTTTGAAAATTACAGTTGATTCTGATAACCGTTTTCCTTTTGCCGGATGTTTTTTCCTGATAACGATTACGATCACACCATAAAATGGCGGATTTAAAAATAAATATATTCTTAATTTCCATTCACTTTTTTTATTACACGTAGAGATTATTCTGGGGTTATGGATACGTTAAAACTTTCTAAAATTCAAAGAAAGACTGCAATGATGAATCAAGGATTTGTACAATGACAAAGCACTTATGAAGGTAGGTCAAAGTTTATCCTCACTTTCGTTATAACATATCATTAAGTTTGTCACATTGTCTTCTTCTCATACGTGCTTATAGTTGTGGTCACCTGATCGAAGTTTGAGCTTGATCACGCCAGGTTTCTTGCTGCTGTTACAGTGTAAACATGACCATTCCGCTGGCAGTGTGTACCAAGGAGGGACAAAGAGCAGTGATTCGATTTCTCTGCTTGGAAGGTGTGTTAAAGAAATTCGTTGGAGGCTTTTAACCCAAGACAGCGAAAGTACATTACCGCGTAGAAATGTGCATGAGTGGATCGAGAATTCAAAAAGTGGCCGGAACAGGTTGACTCACGAAGAGAGAACAGGACGCTTGTCAACCTCCAAAACTGACGAGAAGATTCCACAAGCCGGCGAGATGGTAATGGCAAACCGGCAAGTTATCATCGATAAGGTAGCATGTTCTCTGCAGATTCGGATCACTGCTCTTTGTTCCTCCTTGGTACATACTGAAAGCGGAGCGGCCATGTTTACACTGTAACAGCAGCAAGAAACCTAGCTCAAAGTTCGATCACGTGACCACAATAGTACCAAACAATCACGCATGAGCAGAAGGCAATGTGACAAATCTAAAGAGACATTATTGCGAAAGTGCGGATAATTTTTGACATAACCTCATATATATCAGATGTGAGCAAAGGTTTGCAGAATTCTTTTTTTGAAAGCTAGAAATTCGGTGAACAGTGGAAAACCGGCTTTTCGCTGGAAACATTTACACATTTAATAATGGCTTATGACCGCATTACGTTAAAACACCGATTCACGTACGACCTTCCGTGACCGTACGGCAGCGTCGAGCTTGGTCAGCAACTCGTTGACTGACCGCTTGGAATACCAGGTGCTTTAAGCTCAGATGAACGGGTGGTGTAATGGATAATGGCTCGGAATAATTAATCGGTAAGAGGAGTTCAAATTCCGGTTGGGTTCATTATATTCGCTAATGCGCAAATACCGTTGGGAAAGGTATGAATCCACCTACTATTCCCCCAGCTATGGGTTAATTACTAAGACTTGTATCAGTAAATCGTTATTTTCTAAAAAAAAGTAACAAATTCTTACAATCTAAAAAAAAAAAACCTTTTCTGGCTTTAAATAACCTTCATAGGGTTGATAAGCCGTAAAAAAAAAGAATGAAATCAATCACACATAAGAATACATGCTGTACGGTACCAAGTTTATAAATATACTAAATTTGCTAACATAAATCCACACGACAAAAAATGTAGGCAAAAAGTGTTGATAAAAGTGTATATAGACAACCTTTCAAATAAGTAGGACGTGAGATCTTTTATTTGGTTTCGAACACTGGCCACTGGTTCTGGTAAGAAACCTATATAGAGCTTTTTTAGATATTGAAATGCTCCAATTTTTCAGCATTAACAAGAAAATATAGCCGACTTAATGGATAAATAACAGAACAGACTGGGCCATATGGCCTAAAAAAAAAACCAGTCTAGAACAACAACAACTATGAATTCAAAACCTCCAACTATGGGTTAAATAGCTTCACCAAACCGCAATTTGCCTATCATGGTGAGTACGGCTATACTGCGCTGAAGACATTGTCAATCAGGGAATGGTTCTTTCAACAGGATTCAGAAGGTCCTTGATTTGTATTTGGAGCTTACTTAAGCTAATGGCGTCTTAGACCTTTTCAAAGTATTCCACTTTTGAAGGTAGCCTGAAAAGTCCTCTCTCGGGATCTCCATCAGCTGCCTCGTCGGGTTCTCCTTAATCTCTCCCACCAACTTCAACGGTGTTAGCAGTGAGCCATATCTGGAATGTAGCGGGGCGGTTGTTAAACATAGGTGATGCAATATTGTGCTGAAATTCGTACACAAGACTTCGCTCGGTCAATTGGGCTGCTACGGCCGCACAGTACACAAACACACTACCAACATGTGAAAGTATCTGTTTATGCAATAAGATTCTCTATCTCTGTGATTCGTAATTGGCGCTCTAACTCAGCAAAAAAACAAGATGTCCTCTTTATTTGCAAAACTGACGCAATACAATCTTCTATTCTCACTTTACCAGGACTTCTGTTAAGCCGAGTAGATATATAAATGAAATAATGTGTTTTAATAGCTATATACAATATAAATTTCAAAAAGACGTATAAGTACGTCGACAGCAGCAGAAGTGTTAATTATATAGCAACATTTTTTTTTAGTTAGGTTCCATTTCCCGCTATATTGTTTGTACATAAACCTTTTGTACGAATAATAATAGTAGTCAGTCAAACATGCTTATTAACCAGGCACCAAAAGAGGATTGAAATTACTTTAAGTTCTTCTAGACTTGATCCGTCACCATTACTCTATCTATATACAGGGTGCGATGGGGAAATTGTTGCCATTTTATATTTTTTTTAATTTTGCGCATGCGCATTGTTTGTTTTTGATTTTGTCGGCTGCGCAGTATAATAGAGTCTCTTGGGAACAGCTTGCGAGGCAAAGAGCACGTATGATGCAATTCACTCATACCAGTTCAGCATTCTTTTTTGTTTGTTTGTTTTTAAGCAAATTTTCTGTTTTTAATACTTTGCTTAAGTTTTGAATGGCATCTTTTGATGTTCCAATCTGCCATTGGATTTTGATAACACATTTCCTGTCCTCTGTTAAAACACTTCTGAGATATTTAAATTTCGTACTCGTTTGATTTTAGCATCTCCATTTCGTAGTTCATGTCTTGGGCTCTTCGTCCTTCTGAAAACTTTACATTCAAGTATAGATTACAGGAATGGAAAATTTAGTGAGAATCGCATTCTCTCTCTTTCTCTTTTTGGATATTGCTTGTTATGGTCCCCTAAAGGATTTTGTGGCTTTATGACCATTCATTTTCTTTGCTGTACTTGTTCCGCCATCTTTTTGTTCAAACGTCAGTTGGTTACACGCTGATTTCCTCTGTTTTTCTTGCGTACGATATGTCCTATGTGTGTTAAATTCTCCAAGACTTCCTTCCTCATTATATATCACCACAATTTTCTCTTTCTTAATTTGATTGCTAGCAGCAGGACCTTTGTAGCTTATATTCTCCTTAAAACGTGTTCATTTGTCACATGTTTGGTATATAGTATTCTCAACTTTTGTTGATACATCTACACGTCAGTCGTTTCAAATCTTTTCTTCGCTTATGAGGCAATTGTCCAACATTCAGTGTTATATACGAGGGTTCCTACACGAACGAATTGGTCTGCCATACGACCTTGTTAATCATTTCCTTTATGTTAGACACCTTTCTTTCTCTCTCTCTCTCTCTCTCTCTCTCTCTCTCTCATACATACATACATGAGAGTGAGAGAGTGAGAGCGAGGGAATTTCCTTGTATTTTCTTTCTCATACCGGGGTAATCGCTACCTTTTGACATTTCGCCCGAAAAAAAAATGCTTCCACTTTGTAACCTTTGTTTAAAAAAGTCGTTTTTCAGTTTCTTGCAACCTGATATGGCGCATATACTTGCTACGGCATACCGCAATTTCTACCCACCTATACCCCCAACCCACATACATTCAGATGCGAGCTTGACGTAGCACAACAGTTAACAAGCTTCTCTCATAGAATATCGCTAGTGCAGTGCGTTAAGTCTATACTGATTGCTCCACTACTACGACCATGTGCCAGACTATGCTTAAAGGATATTTACCGAAACAAGATATTAAACCAGCTCACTTCAAATGTGTTGGCCTTTATCAGGCTAATATGAACTTCGTAAAACGTGTTCTAATGCCCACCATGAAGCCGTAAATAGGGAACTGGATTCATTGATCCTTCACGAATGAATAGGTTCTCACTGGGTGTTCTACAAGAGCCAGGATATTTTACGTAAATATTTATAAATACAAGTAAATCAGATAAGTTTTTTTTTTTGTGAGGCGCCTAAGATTGTCTAGAAAATCATCGGTTTCAAGTTCGATCTTAAATAGTTGTATTATTAAAGTGACAAAAATAGAAAATAAATTTGTGAAGAAAGAAAGAGTTAACAAAGGAAAGATTAAACAAAGCCTTAAGCAGTTAGATATGAACAGACATGAATGTGAACGAGATAGTTATAAATAAACTCTCTCTCTCTCTCTCTCTCTCTCTCTCACACACACACACACATATATAGTCATTTTCCAATATATATATATATATATATATATATATATATATTGAAACCTCCTGACGAGTGGACTGAACAATTACAAAGGTTCATTTGCAAAACCCAACTCAGAGGTACTGAATATAACATCAATCATCCATTTTATTATCCTCTCACACTCCCCTCCTTCTCTTTCTCTCTTTTTTTATATATATATATATATATATATATATATATATATATATAGTTAAGGATCAAATATAGATCAGACTCCGACAGGATGAAACATGATAAGATAAAGAACAAATTGGAAACGGTTATATATATATATATATATATATATATATATATATATATATATATATATATATATATAAAGAAGAGAGAGAGACAGAGAGGCAGAGAGCGAGAGATGGACAGGGTAAGAAAGATTGGTAAATCTTGAGAGGTAAGTACATATTCAGATAGCAAGAGATGAGCCGCGTGATATACATAGATGCATAGAAAGACAAAGAGAGAGGGGAGTGAAAATTGAAGGTAAAGCTTTGCACAAAAAAGAAAACTCAAAAAACTAAAAAAAAAAAAAAAGCACTGCAAAAAAGAACCAAAAAAAAAAAAAACACGCAACCAAAAGCCGTAGAAACGAATCACTTTTTTTCATGTTTGCTTGCAAAGTGCCAAATGTGTGTGTCTTTTCAGTTAACTTACGACTCGTTTTATTTATTTATGCTTTGTCGTTTCTTATTCTATTTGGAAGTGAGTCTGAGGTGTGAGATTCCTTTGATCTCGGTGGGCGTATGTGCGTGCGTTGGGGCCAGGAGATGCGCATACTTATACGAGTCTCTGCGCCTGTTCTTGGACGTTTAACAGCTGTTTAGGACCGGAAAGTGAGCAATTGTGTTGGTAAAAACATAAATAAAAATATAAATAATAATTTCTCCCTCTTCCTAAGTGTTACTATTTTTCGCGTAATGTGCGTGTGATCTTTAAGAAAAAGATTTTTAAAAAAGAAAAGAAACTGCGCCTCCAAAATGTCTGTCTATTAACAGGCAACCACAGGAAACTCTGCAGCAAACATTTTTTTTTTTATTCATTGTATTAACAGTGTCGGGGCGAAAGAATCATGAAAAAAAAGGGAGTAATTATTATGTTGTTCAACATGAAATTGCCGATTTTATTCAGTCAAAATAAATTCTAAAAAAAGAAGTTATGATAAATAATATATGCTCCCGTCTCGTAGAGCAATGGTTAAACAAGCTTATTTCAATAAGTTCACTAGCGTAGTGAATTCGTTTTTCACGGGAGACCCATTTAACATCGTGATCCTGTGCCAGACTCACAAGCTGAATAAATACTTGAGAGCACTTTTTATAAATCAAAGTTTTGCAAACTATTCTCGGACCCCCCCCCCCAATATAGTGAGCAACGACTCTCACTGGGTACCCTATTACTCTAACCTAAGACTAGAGTCACCTCGATCAGTATTATGGTAATTAACCCACGCACGCATGGGCTCTCGCAGCTATAAATAGGAGCAGGTACTGCCTTTTGGAGGGTGAAGTTTCTAGCAATTAGCTCTGACAGTCAGACCGAACATTCTTGCTGTAACACTCTCGTTTGTATATGTTTGTATTACTGTTTTTGTTAATATATTTAATATATATTTATATATATTTCTGTTAATATATTTAACTCAATTCCTCTCTTGTGTCTTTATTTCTGGCCCTAACAAGGCCATAACAATCAGTGATTCGTGCGATAGTCTCAGAGACTTTTCGTTTGTTTAATGAGTTCGATGTTCGCTTCAGAATCTCTCTCAGTATTATCTTATGCCAGACTTAGAGAGATAGAACATCCGTCATAAAGCGATGTCAAGCAAGTTTTCATGCTGACAATTCGCCTGTGCAGTGAATTCGATCCTCACTCGACGTCCTTTTCAATTGTCAGAAGGTTTAAGCCAGTTTTGGATAAACTGCAGCCCGCATTGCTTTTTTGAATAGCCCACCTAATTTCATGAGGAAAATAACGTTTATTAAAATGTCATTTATCTCGTTTCCTTCTCACGTTCACTCACATACACTCTCACCCATCAAAATGTTTGGGGAAGATCACTGAAAAATCTCCTCAAAGATGAAGAAGAGACTGGAAACAACAGAAATGTGTTTCTACAGAATGATGCTTAGGATACCATGAACCGAATATGTGAGCAATAACGAAGTTGCAGAAAGAATGTTAGCAAAAAGGAAAGTTATACTTAATATCAGGAAGAAACAGCTGAAATTTCTAGGACACATAATTGTTGTGGCCTTGTTGGGGCCAGAATAAAGACACAAGATTGGATTTGAGTTAACAAATATATTGACGAAAACCAGTAATACAATAATATGATAAACGAGCAAGAATGTCCGAACTGTCAGAGCTGACTGTTGGGAAAAAAACTACCGCCTGACAAAAGTAACATCTGCTTTTATTTGTAACTTGGAAGAGTCTATCCGTGTATGGGCAATTTATCATAACAATAATGAAGAAAGACAGCTTGGAAAATTTGATACTCACAGGACAGATTGAAAGCAAGAGGGACACAGGAAGACAACGCATAACATACTTAGTGAGCTTGACTAAATGGTTGGTGTATCAGGGTTTTGGAGAAATAGCAAAAGAACAAAATTTACTAAGAGCTACAAAGGACTGGGAATTGTGGAGAGCAGTTATCGCCAATGTCCTGAGGAAAAACGGCATAAGAAGAAGTGTCAAAGGGGAATAACTGTTATATGATCGACTAATCTTATCTACTTATTATTGTCTGTTGTATTATGGCTAGTCTAGTCAGAAAAAAAGAAATATTAGCCATTATCAATCTGTATAATTTTCAACGCGTCAATCTGCAACAATGGAAACACTCAAAAGACTTAAATTGGCATCTCCGCTCAGCATAGTATGTCCACGAAAGTAAATGATTGATTTAATATTCAAATTTCACCGCTTAAAACTACTTGTGATAATTCAGAGACGGTAATCGAACAATATCCTTTCTACATAAACGTGTGAAAGCACGTGCGATACCCTTTCTTCGTCAGTCGCCAACCAGGTGAGGTAACAGTTTTGGTAGTTAAGATGGTACTGCCACCCTCAGTGCCACCAGCATGTTTTGTCACCGGACAGGGTATTGTTTTTTTTTGTGCAAAGTCTCTGCGATTTTTATGCAACTGTAAGTTAGCTTCATAACGTTGTGTGAAAAGCATTTGCTTTTGATCGTTAAACAAAACACAACGCGCAAGTAGCGCCCGTTATTAATGACACAGAATGGAAGATAAATAGATGTGTTTCACGTCGTAGCATTGTGTTGCGAACATTGTTTTAATTAACTTTGTTTATTTTGGATCTTCACCAGATCCAATTCGATGCCTGGAGACGATGTGAAGCACTCTTCAGGCACCGGCTAGTGATGCCCATCTTCAAAAGGAAAGAAACAATTGACCGTCCAAGTAATATACTAAAGTAGATGCTTACACGTATGGTCTTCTGTAGTGAAAATGGTTGAGGTAGCTTCAACTGTAAATTACCTTGATGTTTTTAGTAGTGTGATCCGCCTGATGATGAGCCATGCTTCATGCAGCCCGCTTTTCGAAAAAGCTAAAGTAAATAACCATTCTATCTTTTGGTAGTAAGTCGTCAATTCTTTCCCGAAAGATATTCTTAATTCAAGAATATAAATTTATTAAAATTGGAATTTTTTTTTATCTTTAAGGAAGTCATCTAGATGTTTGTGGAAATATTAATACACTGAAGAGATGCTGGATGAATAAGTCTTTTATGTGTCGTTTTATTTCAGGGCGAAGGTAACCATAGCTCTCCATAGCTCCCTATCCTTTGGATGTTGAAACAATGTGTCCACTTACTATACCTCACAGGCACTGTTCTGCCATCTATTTACACAAGTTCATATGGTAGGTTTCTCGATGTTTCTCTTTTGCATTCGATATGTCTCAAGTGAGTGTCAAATTCCCCAATCAAGTGTCCTTTTCGTTTACATTTTCCTTAAAACTTCCCCATTGCTCACATGCTCTGCTAATAGTATTCTTCTTCTGTAGAAAGACTTCTTTTCCTCTGTGAGGAAATTCTTCAGCATCTTTCCAAAGCACCTTAGGATTTTTATGTCTGTCGTCTATTGTAGCACTTTCCAGAAACAATTTAGAAGCGTCAGAATACTGACATTTCCAATTTGTAATCTTGTCAATGACCATACATTCTGACTTCTTACAAATATTT